ACTGGTCTGACTGGAGTCAACACTCTACTGAGTAAAAGAGAAAAGAAGAAGAGAAATGGCTTGATGTTTTGTGGTTAGAGGGGTTTAATGGAATGGAATAAATACATAAATAAATAAATAAAGAATAGATAAAAAAAAAATCAAGTCATATATGTCAGTAGCTGGCTGGTTATGAGATAAACAACTAATAAACCTAAACATTACATCAAAGTACCACGAGTGCAGCTCAGAGATGTTTCATTTTTAACACTAGGCCGATGTTTCATAGACAGACTGCTCTACCAAACTGCACACTTCCTGCTGGGTGTCTTTCACAAAAGTTTTAATTTGAAACTAAGGGAGGAAGCAGTTTTATTCATGGTACTGTGACATTGTGGGTCGGCTGATGTGATTTGTATTTTCTCATAAACTGGGGAAGTCAACATTTAGGACAGAACAAAATGGAGGAATTATTGAGTCCACTACAATATGTCCTTTCATCAATATAAAACTGTCCCCAAAACCCTTTTTTATGAGTTTAAATGTGATCGATCTAATGCGTTTATTAACTTTTCTTCATTCTATCATTTGCATTCATTTAAACAAAACACACAACCCATGGTTCTGGATTTGGGTTTACAGATCTGCAAGCCAAACGTTGTCTTTGGCTCACTGAAGGAGTCTACCTGTCCAAGCACTGGTGTCCAGTGAGTGGTCTCTAACTGGTCCCTCCAGGCCCCAGACCTGAGTACATATATACAGTGTGTATTTTGTATATCGTGTTATCATAAAAATAACAAAAACAGAAAAAAAAACAAGTAGGCATTCATGGACAAGGGATGAGAACAGGTCGCTGTTTGAATGCTACAATCCAAGTAACCCCAGTGGAGGCGGTTCCATGAATAGGATGTGGACCTTATGGATTTTTTGACACCCAACATCTAGACTAACCTTGAAATAACTAGTAGCTCAGTGTACCAACAAGAAGTTCCAAGACGTAACTGGTATCACAATTGGAGCTTTATAAAGTACAATACAAATGCCAGGGCATGGGCGACCCAGGATATCATGTAAGGCGATCATGCTCTCTGAGAGAATAGTGGTTCAGACACTCACCAGTCTTCAGCCTCCATCCTTTTGCTTTACAGTGTGTATTTTGTATATTGTGTTATCATAAAAATAACAAAAACAAACAAGAAACAAGTAGGCATTGATGGACAACGGATGAGAACATGTCGCTGTTTGAATGCTACACGTGACAGCTAGACAGCCAGCGAACAAAATAGACGAGATCTCCACACAAGGCTTTTCTTGGTTTTACTGAAGATATTTTTAAGCCTTATCCTCTCTCAAGGTTTGCTTTGCTATTTCGTATTTTAAACGGAAATATACAGAAAGTAAAAAATGAATTGCTAGCTAATACACATCTTAATGACAAACTTAATGATTAGCCTAGCTTAACGCGTGCGTTACATTAGCATCACAGTTCACTCCATGTAAACACATATAAAAGTTGTTGCTGAACACATTAATACTCACAAAGACGAACGTTTTCCAAGGTACAAGCGTGCAGAGCACTTTTAGTGTATATGAGCTCATTAACTGTTTTACAGTTTTTCTCAAATGTTAAAACACAAAAGCCAATCCTGTAACCCAAATGACCAGTAGTCTAA